AAGAAAAAAACGACATCGACTCAATCTACTGAAAATATACAGACCACGAACACATAATACCGAATGGGAAGTAAGCTTACGATTGAAATAAAAGAAGAAAAACGGTTAACGATAATAAAAATGGAACAAAATGGAAAAAAAGAAGCAAAATAAATGGACAAGAAAAAAAGTAGTGTGTGTGTATACGTAAAAATACAATTGGGTTTTTGTGAGATGTCACGTGTTCTCTTATTTGCCGAATCAAGACAAGAACACGCAACAAAAAGTAGAGGAAAAAAATGTCGATAGAGGAAAGAAAAGATGAAAATTCGCCGAATGAACAAACTGAATGAAGTCGGACTCATAGAAAAAAAAGAGAGAGAGAGAGAGAGAGAACGTGGCAAGATGAAATGGATTTGAATAAAAAAAAAATAAAAAAATGCAAACAAAGTACGATATCAAAGTTGCTCCATGCATACATACACATCCAGAAATCCACTCACATGCATGACAGCACGAACCAAATCATACATGAAAACGACGAAATGAGAAGGAAAGTAATCGCACTTAAACATTCAATCTATTGCGAAATGTGACATGTACAAAATAATGTATTTTTGGTTATCACATTGCGCACATGCATTTCATTTACGTTGAAATTCATTTCAATGTTTCACGCTCTCATGCTTATTCTCATTTCGCTCCTGTTTCTCACATTCTCATATTACAAAAGAGAAAAACAAAAAAAAACATACACGCATATCTGACAAGTAATATTCACTGAATTAGATTGAAAAACTGAAATGCTGCACGCCTTCTGGCGAAAAAAACAAACACCGCGAGTATATCCGATTTTCTCATTTGTTCAAATTGCCCCAGTAAATATGGATGTAGTGCGAGTTGAAAAGATATAAATATTGGGAGTATAGTGTGACATCTTGTTCAAACATGAGTGATCTCATTTTCGCTTCACAAAATCGAGTCGAATTCTTATTCGCCCATCGATTTGTGGTGTTTTCCATTCGATTTGAAAGGTTTTTGTCGATACGATATATGCGCTTGTAGTATGTTTTATTATCTCAATATCTATTTATCAAGATCGAAATTGTGTTATGTTTCGTTGTGTTCTTGTTTGCCAAAATTGAAATTGGTCGGTGTCTCCATAAAATGGTTCTTTTTCCCACGTTTTTGTTTTGTTTGTCATTTCGCCAAAGAGCCACAAAACACATAAAATGCCAATGTATTTGAAATCAACATGATGGCAAAGAAAGATCACCTATCTATTTTTATTTGTGCATGTGGATGCCAGCGCACGTTTAATGGCCCATAAAATTTAGGTGTTTATAATATATACGACGAAAAAAAAGGAATTTGAAGTTAAACGGCTGTGCTACTGTACACAGTATTTCTTTTTTAAGGTGAATTACAAACGATTCACTGTCTACCACCTCACATTGAAATGGCCAATTCGACACACGACGAAGAGAATGAGAGTAAGGCAAACGTGAGCATGCAATAGCACGCGATAAATGAAATTGGCCGATGGTGACGATAATGGTTGTGCTTGTGTTATACGCCACACATATATTTATGCCTGGCAGTTGTTTATAACAATTGCATTAAGTTGTTGCTGGGTTTGTTATGCAATACCGGCGACCAAACATTTCTTAGTCACAATAAGGTTTTGATTTCAAAACTTGGTCATTTCCTGCAAACCAACCAGATACCATCTCGATAACGACACTTCAATCTCACCCCTTGTGGCTGTTTTGTTTATTTATTTCGCGCGAAATTCACCTTTTTTTGCCCGCATTTTCATTTTCATACCATGATGAACGTTTTCCCCCTGTATTCTTCATCAAAGTCGCGGCAAAAGGAAAAAAAAAATAAGACGGTAAGCATAATGGATGTTTGCACTTCAGTCATTTTCTTAAATGATATATTGAGCAAAAACGCCAAGAGTAAATAAAACTGGTAAACAAATTATTGGTTTGTTTGCGTCTCTACCTCTCTTTTGCTCATCATAACCATCGAAGCGTTTGTTTAGTCATTAATTCAGATCAACGTGTTCTTTTCGCAATATAAACAATTTAGATTCAACCACACGATGAGGTAAAATATTATCCGGTTATGGTTGCTGGTTGGCTCTTTGGTTCAATTGTTACAAACGATTGAAGAGCTTTTTTTACATTAATACTGAGCGGTTCGATCATAGGTAAAGAGTACAGGTATTCTCTGCTACGTAAATATATAATTAAAAGGTTCTTTTTTCTCCTTTGCATTTACATTTAGAAGCACTCATGTTGATAAAATGTGAATCAAACAAAAAAAAATACCATTCGGATCACTTCACATCAAGAGCAGCAAACACAATGTATCGTCGACCATATAAACGGAATCTGTGCCGCACAGAGATTATCATCGCCAGAATCTTATTGTGAATAACAATATGATAAGGTATACCGAATAAAATCCCAAAGTAAATAGAAAACAATGGATAAATCAAGCCCAAAGCCTACACGTACTTTCCACGAAATCCAAACCATATTGAATATGTATTTGGGAAATTCACACGAAATAAATTCGACGATATTTAGATTGAGATTCCGATAAAAGACGACGAAAATATTATTTATATTTTATTGCATTTGGTATAAAAACAATTTGTGATCATTTGTGTTTGTGTGCGCGGTCTGAGGTATTTAAATGAGATGATGGTGAAGTCAACCATTTCCCGCTTTCCATTCGATACATAACAATCCACCACGTCGCCTCTTCATTTCTTCTTTGATTATTATCACGTTATTGTTCGTTCATTTAATTTTGCCAAGTCAGAATATTTCGAATGAATTCACCAATCATTGGGACAAAATAATTAGTCAGCGCATGTGAATGGCACCAAATACTATCATTCATGATTGACTGCCTCATTCCGAATAGAATTAATGTGCGGCTTTTGAAAAGCACCTGAAACAAAAGCGAAAATATAATGACAAATAGAAAAAAAAAAGTGTCACATCGTCTCTTGCTCTATCATCTCATCATTCCAATCACTCGTATGCATGACACACATTATCCGACTGAATGAATTTGAAGGACAAATTACTATTTCCATCCATCGGATCGTCTACGTTCACATGAAGTATATATTTGTGATAAAATCACTGCCTACTTTTATTACTTAGTCTAAATCCATTGTATTCACTCATCATCAGAAATAGAGAATAGATTATTGTTTTAGCGAATTGAGTAAAAAAAAAGAAAATAGCTGTATGTGGTTTGGCCTCATTGTGTGAAATGATGTCACGATGTGGATTATATGTGCTACTACAGTATTATGTCGGGCAGAATAGAAGACGAAAAATGATTGAAAATGACGGTATGGTCCGTTTATCATGCGAAAAATAGAAAAAAAGGATATTCATTTATATGGGGTGCCTAGACACAATGAAAACAACACGTTCGGTGACGAACAAGACGTTAATTAAACGAAAAACGCTTTGTAACTAAAAGCATAATTAATTTCTCAGCAATCGATGAAAATGCGATTAGCTGAGGAGAAAATTGACCATCGCCACCATTTTTAGATAATTCAAAGTCTAATGTAGCATTAATCTCCTTTAACGGCTTCTGTTAAATCTATTTTAATTTAATTGTTTGTAATTTTATTCAAAATTTGCAAATCGTCCTCTCACTCGAATAGATAGATGAGACGTGCTTTCCACCACTTATGAACATGTATATATACTTCATAAACAAACGATTGCCGGAGCTGTGCACACGCTTAAATGGTGCACTGAACATCAACAGACATTTAAGATTTGGTCCAACAAAAATAAAGAGAATGAAATGAATGTTTAATTCCCTTTCGCTTTCTCTCTATACCCCTTTTTCGGCCCCTCCACACCTCTCTCTCTCTCTTTCTCTTTCCAATACTCTTTCATTCTTAATGTTTTTTAGACGGCTCGGTGGTATTTTTGGTATATCACTTGTGTATACGATACGAGATGGGACTGAATTCTCGACAAAAAGTTTGCCATTCATTAAACTCGATTTTTATTTGATTTTGAAAATTTATTTGACACAGTTTGAAATTATGTGAGTATGTATAGCTCAACATATATACAACGATTTTTCATTCCATTGGGTTTTCGTTTCAAAGCTTTTATCCTTAAGCTATTTAAAGCGAAAACTTTGTAATGCAGAAATAGAGAACGGTTTGGCATAGAGAGTCCGCGTCAAATCTCTACATTAACAGCAATAACCAACAACAACAAAAACAACCACGCGTGTAGTATAGCAAAAATTTGTTTAAAAGATGTTGAATAAAAAAAAACCTGAAAAAAATGAAACAACACCTGAACACAGCAAACATAAAAAACTCAATGTAAACAGACCCTTGATGAAAAACGAGATGCCGTACCCGATTCATGTTCGCGCTATCGCGCTTCACCGAAAGGGGGTTAGAAACGGTTTTCACTATGTTTCTTTTCAATATTAATACTTTCAATTGAAGAATTTGCTTCTCTTTTCCCCTGTTGTTTCTTTCATCACTTAAACATTTTTTTATTTGCACATTTTTGTTTGTGAGCTATTTGTGCCAAAAATTATTTGCAGGCGAAACTTTCAACCATATATGCTTTTGTTCTGACGTAGTTTTCACATACTTGAGGTGATGGGATGAACAAAAAAAAACCAAGTCGAAAAGTAAATAAAAATGTAACGAACACGACTAAGAGCGAGAAAAAAAAAGAAAAGAAAAAGCGAACATGCATCACCGTCTTGAGGCATAAAATTGAACGAAGCCAGTTAAGTTATGTATGAAGTTTGTGTGTGTGTGTATATATTTTTTATGTTGATGTTGCTCGATGAAATTGTCGACAAACTCGTATACTTTTGGTACCCGCATGAACCAAACAAAAATTGCCAAATGACAGACAGTACGAACAATATAAAGAGGAGGTTGAACGTCATAAACGAAATGAAGAAATTTATTCGTGGAAAAGGTAAAGCAAACTTACGTGTTATTCCTCCAATGACGAAATTGCCAAATACTCGTGACATGCCAACACAAAAAAAGCATTCTTCGTTCGGGTGCTGAACATATAAACTATGTTGCTGGTGAACCTGATGAAAGTTCGCAACGATTTTTGTTTTTGATGTACGTGAAAGCCAACAAACAACATCGATTCCCGGGTGAACAGAAGCGAACGAGTTGAATAAAAAAAATTGTCGAGAATGTTGCGATGCACAAAGCGACAGCGTAGACGAAACATAAAGAGATGGAAAAAGAGAGAAAGACAGAGAAGAGAAGAAGAAAAATGAAAAACAAACAAACAAGAATCATGAAATGGAAAAACGATCCAAGTGTTCAGTGAAATGCTACAACAATATAACATTTAAATACATTTCAAAAGATATGTAAATGTACGCACTTTTAAATTTCATGAAATGTTGCTTTCGGTGCTAGATTTTTATAGCTTCTGTTTTCAAGTTGTACGATGCTGTTGAAACTCGTGTAGGTTTTCACTAATTTATTATATGGTTTTGGTAATATCGTTGCTGCTTCAACGTTTACTTCAGAAAATATGAATTAGAAAACAAATGACTTGCAAGAGACTGAAGGCAAACGTATAGAATACACACGCACACAACACCGCATAAAGTGGATGCTGGAAAAGACAGCCAAATAGTCGACACGCACAGAAAATAGAAGAAGAGCTATATATAGATAATAGCAAAAGAAAATGTGTGAGCCAAGCTTTCAAGTTCCTAATGTGTAAGTGGTGTTTTTATTCCACAAAGTCTTGTACTTCTTTTATTCCTCTTAATTCGCAAAATTGTGCTGTTTTTCTTCGTTTCGGTTTTATTTTCAGTTTATTAGCGCTGTTGCCGCACACACACACACATACACACTTTCTGATATCGAATAGATAATTGCTTGATGTTTATGAACGATGGTTTGGGATCGTTTGTGTTTTTCTTTTTATATTCGTTTTGGAATGCGCAACATACACACCGTACATTCCACACACAGTGTTGAACAAATGCTGACTGTCGTTGCGAAAGCGTGCCGAAAGATAAGCCAAAACATATTAAAAATTGGTTCTACCATCTACTCCGTACCCACATCATCATCATCATCCTGTCCTTTTCCGTTTTTCGCTTCGTCGCCGAATATACACGCTTTGTATTTCTCCTAGATGTGTTGTATCGTGTGTGTTTGTTATGCGCGCCCGTTCGTTCTATTCGCTGTTCGATACTCTCTTTCTTTCTATCTCTCTCTCTTTCACACACACACTCCAAACTCACTCACTCCTCGCGTATATAAACTGTGTTTATGTACGTTTGGGGTTTTTCGTTTTGCTTTGTTTGCTCACAATATAAATATGATGTTATTTCAATGGTTCTATATCGTCGCCGTTTTGGCCGTTGTTACTACTGCCACTGCTGCTCTTCTTCCTTTTGTTCGTGTATCCGTGCGTATTCCGTTTCTTTTAACTTTGGCTGAACTTTGGGTTGTACTACAATTCTGTTTCATTTGTCAGCTTCGTGCAACAAAACAACGGATAAACTAGTTGGATACGCACAATATTCTTAACCAACGAGCACGCACGCACATAGAATATATATATATATACAGCTTTCTCCGTTCAGATGATAGATAACGAATAGAGCGCACCCGTTTCCCTTCAGTACCAATTCACTCTTAGCCTCAGATGCTTAAAATATACGAACAATTTGCCCACTGTTCTCTTCTAAACAGCAACCGTTTTCATCTATAGCGAGAAATAGACAAGAAAAAAAGAAAATTGGAAGAGAAAAGAAAAAAGAAAGAAATTATTTTCGCTATGAGATTTTTGAAGCTAGCTTTCGGTAGCTATTGATATATGGCCAAATTCATGGTACATATTGTAACATTGTATCCGGTATTGAATATGGCATAAACATTAAACACAATATATTCTCTCCCCCCATTCCATTTAAATGTAGTATGTGCGTTCAAGTAGATCCCCTTTTTTATTTTTATTGCTTTAGTTAGTCGCGCGCGCGAAACATACACGAACCAACTGGAAAACACTTGCATTGGATGAGATTTGAGAAAGTAAGTGACGTGAAAGATAAACCCGACAAATACATTCGTATTTTTGTATGGATGCGAGAATATGAGAGATACAAAGAGATGCTCAAAGTAAAAATGTCCGCGTACTGTATTCACGAAGAGAGTACAACTATGGAAATGGTGCTAAATTTTATTCAAATCCTCTAATACCATTAGGTGTCTTTGTGAAGGCAAAATTACTTCTTTTGCTCTGAGGCTGTCAAATAGCTATATGAAATTCTCAAGTACTTGTTTGGTTTGTTTTTAGTTGAGGAAAAAGTGCGCCGCGTCAATTCTAAAATGAAAACGCTAAAAATGTTGTTTTTCTGCTATGTTATTTGACTATGTTGGTTGTTTTATTTTAATTTTTTTCCGACGACTGATACTTTTTCGCCCTGTCTTCGATCAATTGATGAATGTCCAAAGTCGACATTTGAGCTTATCTTTATATTCACACCGTTGCAATGCTCTGGGGTTTTTAAATTTTTTCTCTCTTTTTTGTTGTTGTTGCAACTCTGTGATGTTACGGCATTCATATTTGGGAAGCCGCTTTTTTCCAACAGTGTTTGCTGAGTTGCTGAGTTTTTATAGCACTCTCTTACACACAATATGCGATTATGTTCCTTTTTTTCTCTCTTACACCGTTCGTTTATCCGCTTCTTCTAGTTATTTTGTTTATCTTACGATTTCAACTCGTCGTTGTTGACGGCTGCTACGCTGTCATCTTGTGCCTTTTTTGCATCTGTGTTCGCATCAAAGACATGGCTTTCGTACAAAAATTTTGTATATATTAGCCCGAGCAAGTGTATGTGTGTGAAAAATGATGTTTGATGAGAATTAGGCGTGTTTAGTAGATGCTGCCACCAATTTATCTTGTACACGCGGCTGTAACAGCATCTCGCGTGATTTGTATCGTAGTTTTTCAATCGAGATGTTATATGTACACGAACGAATTCATGCAGAACAATAAATAAGAATCACATGTGGAACGATGAGGCAAAAGCCATACATACACACACACCCACGGTCGAATCGAATCAATGAAAAATTATTCACGTCTAGTGTTGAGATCGAGAGATGGGTATGCAGCTAAAAGTAGTATACGAGGAGTTAACATCATTGAAACTATAAATATTTCTTTGACTTGTTTTGCTGCTAGTGTTGTAAATGATACGTATCGTGGTTTACGGTCACTTCATATCACCAAGTTCGATGCCATAGCACGCACGTACACGTTCCAAAATACTTATGTGATTACGATGTGGGGTAGTGATAGATAAGGTTCGGATCATTTGAAATCATTGGATGAAAAATAAAAGCGTTTGAAATTGCTTTGAAAATGGTACACTCTGTGGATATTCTCATTTTCAAAAATGTTAGCTGTCCTTTATTTTTTTTGTGTACAAACGCAAAACACACACACAGTTTATTCTTTAAATCATATAGGTTTTCCCCAAATAGCAACAATCTCTCTATATGTCTCTTTCATCCTTTGCCTATCCCACTCTCTCATCCTTAACGCACCGTCATACCAAATAGATAATTTTTATTTATTTTGGCACAACAACAACAAATGTACCGTAAGAGATTAAAGACTAGACCAATAAACGCATTTTGCGTGAATCCATGAGAAAGGATATATTGAAATGCGACAGAGCAATGACAAACAATCGAAATGTTCTTTCTACACTTTTTTTTTGTTCAATTTTATTCGTTTTCATTTTTGGCATTTGTGTATTTTCTCGCATGCAGACGCCAACAACAACACGCACTGCTAATGCGAACATTTTCACTATATATTACAATATTCTATACGATGCTGTGTGTATCGGGGAGAAAGCTTTGACCTTATTCACTTATAATAACAGAGCGTATAGAACACACACTCATACACAAACTCCACAATGAACTTTTTTTTCGTTCTATTCGATCGCTTCTTTTGCATTGGTCTTTTGGACTGCTTCAATTTGGTTTATTTCCACTTTTTTTTACTTTTGCCATTTTTCTCTTTTATTCACGCGCTCCCTTACTCAAATATCATCGGCTACTTGCTTTTTGGTCGCCTTTTAAGTCTACGGTTTTTTTAATGGTCTATTCGTGGCTTCGTCGGCTTTTTTCTTACGTTCGAATTACTTTTCATAATCTTTTTTCATATTTTTTTTTCATGTCCAAAAAACAGCTTGACTTTTTCATGCTTCTTGTTTAAGCTTCAAAGTGGGAAAAAGATGAAAAATCTCAGTAAAATATCAAACTCAAAGGACTTGCTTTTTCTTCAATAAAAAAATATCTTGAGATTAATTCTGGCTGTATTAGCATCATCGTCATTGACGCTTGTTCAATCAAACCGAGAAGGAGAGGGTGAAAAAGAATGAAGCGATGGCAACGTACGAAAATCAATTGATTGGCCTTTGATCTTTGCATTTTGGTATATTTGACGCTTTGTTGCCGTCGTTGCTACCGCGCTGCGACAGTATCTCGCGCAATGCTGATGATTTTACAGTTAGTGGTCGTCTCATCGTCAGTCAGTCAGTTGTGCTCATGAAATAAATGTACAGACACTGTAAAGTGCAAATTTAATTTGACTGTGCGTATCGAGTTAATGATTGATGGTGACAAATAAATTGAATTTCTCTCTTTGATTATTAAGTTCGTGTATTTTTTTTTCGTTGCTCACATTTTTTCTTCTGTTCAATGCTTTGTCTCTCTGACTTATTCTTTATTCTTCTTATATTTTTTTTACACTTCATACTTTTCTTCTGCGTTTCGCACGGATTTCTATGGATTATCGCCCTTTTTTCGTTATGCTGTGGATTGTGTTGGCTCGTTTTTATTTTGATTGTTTAAGTTGCATTCACGACAAGCGAAAATAATACTAATTTCATTGGCCACTTGGTCACGACAAAAATATCTCTAAATGAATCACAACAATGAGTTGGAAAGCCACATAACGCTTACTTACACAATTTTCGAAGTGTTTTTTTCCCACTGTTTCCATCCAGAATGAAACAGAAAAGCGAGTAAAAATATAATGGAATGGAATGTGTGCTTTTATCTGCCAAAACTGTGAAAATTCATGCGAATTTTTCTGGTTTTTCCAATGCAATCACCACTAATTCATTCAAATGAGATAATTTTTATGTTTTCATTTCTCTTAAATTTATTTATTTTTTATTTTTCTGGTCACAAAAGAACTTGCAAATGCCTTAAACTTTTTTCCTTCATTTATGTAAGAGTATGTAGGAGTTTGTTTGATTTTCTTCAGCACTTTTTCAAGTAATTGGATAAAACTTTACGACATGGATTTTTCTTCGTTTTTCTCTCTCGATATTATTTCATTTTGTTTTTTCTGATAATTCGTTTAGAAATTAGTATAATTTTTATTATACGGTGATGATATTTTTTCTTTTTGTCGCACAATTTTGTATTTTCCGATGATTTGCAAAATGTTCGGGTTGAATTTTATCACTTTTTATTGGGATACAATGAAGCTGTAATGAAATTCGCGTATTAAGAAAGAGAAACAAAAGGGCTTTGCTGCCGAAGGAAAACGATGTCTAGATCAGACTGAAAAGAGCGTTTGAGTCCGTGCAGCAATAGCAGTCCGTGCTCACAATGCGATACAATCGGAAGGTGAAACGGAAAGAGAAAAAGAGAGAATGAAAAGCACATGCGGTACAGCATCAGCAATGTGGAAAATTCAACCAAAAATTACTCTCGTTCAATTGGTCGCTCTCTGTCGTGCGCGCCTTTTCACTCTCTTTGTTACGGTGCTACGATGTTAATACAACAAGCCATATATAGCTTCTGCAAGAATAGCAAATACACGAAACGTGCGACACCGATGGATAAAGCGCGAGTAAAGCGAAAACGTTTGCGGATGGCGAACATTTGACAAAATGAGTAAGTGAGTGAGAGTGATGTAGCGAGAGCGTTGAAAATCAAATGAAGGTGGGGCAGATTTCCGTTTTTTCGCCTCAAGCTTTTGTCCGTTCTTTTCTCATTTCCATGTTATTCGGACGCAAACGCTTCTTTTGGCATAAAAACCGTGCGATTTTATATATAAGAAATGAAAATTTACTGTCTATTCAGTCGTTCTGCTACATCGACAAAGCAATATACTGTCAAGAACATTGCCAATCTCTACATAAAACTTTATGCAGCTTTCGTTATATTATTTCTGTTGTGGATGTCGTTGTTGTTCATATTTCTCCGCAAAGGGAATAAATTAGTTCGTATAAATGAGATACACAAACCGAATCTTTTGCTTACATAATCATGATTCATGAGATGAGATGAACGCATGACCGTTGAAGCACCATGCGAACATAAATGTTCTTGCTGTTTTTGCCACTACAACTGCCTCTGTTTCTGTTTCTATTCCTACTGTTTATGTTGGTGAATGAATTAGTTGTGCATTGCGTTCGGTGTGGCTGGCGACTCTGGAGTACACTTGCGATTGCTCTCTCTCTCTCTCTCTCTCTCTCTCTCTCTATTGCTGAACGCAGAGTGGTTCGCGTGTTTGTATGTGTGTGGTTTTACTCAGCTATCATCGACCGCTTTCTCTGCATCGCAATGCTAACTGCTTATGATACATTTCACCTAATTCAATCGGTTAAAAATGTGTGACAAACACATGCGGCGTGTTGAAACATACGGGACAACGAGCATGCTGAAATTGGTATGTGTGTTTGCCGCCGTTTACAGTGTACATTGTGTGTACAAATTCATTACCCTCTCACTCTTAACATTATTTTTTCTTTGCTCTATCGTCGTTTGTCATTTTGATACCGTTTTATAAAAATGAACATTGAAGTCGTGCGTTTTCTTGCTGGCATTTATAGATGTTAAATGTTCTCTAATATAAATGTATATCGTAATATGTACACAATCGTATATTAATATATGCGAAAGATGAAGAAAAAGAGAATATCATAGAAATACATTTAGCAAACGTGTGCACTCTGCTTTAGCGCCAGAGCTGCGAGACATGCATACACACACAGCCGAGGGACAAAACATTCATTTGGGATTCTGTTTTGTATCAAAGCGCAATTCATTTGATGAGATCAGAGACTAGCAAAAAAAGAATGAATGTGCCGTCGTTTTTCTTCTTCTGTTTTCCTTTCATCCATTTATTATTTAATTATTGATTCAGACATCGAAACAAACGCAGTTTAAAAATGAATAAAAATTACACAAATTGTTTATTTGAAGGAAGCCTTCACCGGCCCACTCCAATTTATGTGCCTTTCTACAGTTATACCGATGACATATGAGTGGAATACAGGTAAAAAGTGAGAGATTGAGTGAGAAAAAAAATGATGTTATTTTAGATGGATGATTTTTTTCTTCTGATTAGCGATCCGGCGCATCTACGCATACACATTCTGGGGTATTTTAATTGATTGAAAAAAAGTCGGCGGATTAGCGGCATTGATGGATGGGTTGTGGAAAAAAATGAGGTCGCAGACAAACAAAAAAAATCGTTATGCTATGATCCACTTGAAAAACACGACGAGTTGCTGGAAAATATCACTATGCTCATAAAATGCTTATCCGGCGGAAAACCTGATGAGATACTTTTGTTCGAAATTGAATTAATACCACCCTGCCACAATATGGACGAAACGGGTTTCTTTCTAATGTTGATGCCGTGAAACCGATGATTATGATGGTGTGATGTAGGTTCTCTTACTCTGCGGCGCTAACCACCCCATTGTGCACTGAATATTTATAGAGTAACCATATATTCACATTTTCAATGTTTATACCCGCCCCGAGTCAGTTCAACCATCGTTGAACTCTTATTATTGCCAATGAAGTCATGTGCAAAGCTTAAGTATCAAATGGTATCATTTACACTATATACGTATAATATACACGGAATGTATCTGTACTACAGGTTTTTGGTTTGGCTGTTCGTTTTGTTAGACATTTTATTCTATTCGAAAAACAAATAAAAACAACAACAATAACAATGTGCTCCAACGATAGCATCTAATCACAATTATCATAAATTTGCTTGTGGAAAACTTTTACCAAGTGCTCATTCATACAAATATATCCATAGATACTATGTGTTCAGCGGTAGTTTTTGTTCATTCAATGGTTTTTGTTGTTGTTTTTGTTGTTCACAGAATTGTCTGTGTGAGAGCAACGATCTAAATGGTTTGACGATGCGATACTGATGCTGGTGTTAGTAGTAATGGTGACGATGATGCTGGTGCTTCAATGTTGGCACGACTTACGAATGACAAACGAGAGACAAACTTCTTCGCATTTATCCATATTTTCAGTTCACTTTTACATTTTGATTTTTGTGACTTTTGTGCTGTGTGTGTTTACTTGTTTGTAAACTACAAGAGTGTAAACAAAATAACATTTCCAAGAAGAGGGAACCGACTCAAATTCAAAATAGTAGTTTATATGTGGTGTCAATCCGAATGCATTGACGTATAAAAACTGAATGGAAATACATGAAAGCTTTTTGATTCAATTCTATTGTATCTTATGCGTCTTTGACAATGCTTTTTCTTTGCTTCTCGGCAGATATTTTTCTCTTTTCGCTGCTATTCGTCCATCGAATTCATCGGCCTTTGCCAAGTCTTTTGTACTCCAACTGTAAGATTTATTATATATTTTTTTGTAGCGGCATATAAAACCGCATACATTTTTTTCTGCTCTTCTTCTCTACACACCATGTGTGTAGTGTATAAACTTCGACTATTTATTTCTCACATACGGTACAATTTATAAGTGCAAGCATTATCAGGCCATTTTACATTTATAAAACTTGTCTATAACAACCCACAAATCCATCTTTCGTTCATTTATTCGTATACGCGTTCATTTTTTTGTTCTGCACATTTCTCCTGAGTTGATGGAAAAATTCTCTTTGACAGTAATAAAGAGTTTATGGCTGAAGTGAACACGAAAACAAAGAGTACACCAAAGATGAGAAAAAGAAAACAAAAGGAGCAAAAAAAAAACTCTGATGGAAAGTTTACAACTTCTTTTGTTGTTTTGTTACAGTGCATCTTACTGATCTATTTTTAACCCAATGCAAACTTTTGTTCCATGTTGCCCTTTTTCCATCTAGATTTTTCATTCAATTTCTTGGCATCGGATAAAGTTTTATCTTTTACCATTTTTTTCCACTTTATAAAATTATTCTATATATGCATATTATTCAAAGAGAAGAGAACTTTTTAATTTCTCATATCTCGTCAAAAAATGCAAGAGGACACAAAACCAAAATAGAGTAGAGAGAGAGAGAAAAAAAAACACAAAATTACAAAATTAGGAGCGGGGTAAAAGTTTGCTTGTGGCTCAAATCATTTTTACATTCTAATTGGATTATGGGGTTTTATGGTCGTTAGTTTGCGTACGTTTCCATCATTTGATGCATGGTTAATCCGATGACATCGTTAGCATTGTATTTTTTTGTTGCACGCAAATAACAGAGAAAAAACGAATAAGAGAAAACAAATAGAGAAAAAAATCTGTATAATTCATCATGCCATTTGTTTCCATTTATATTTTATTTGGCTTAAATAAAGTGAACGATTTTATTGTTTGAGCTTACATATTTCACACTCATGCGATCGAAAATAATCCAATTCTATCAAAGTGGCTTTGCTTATCATAACAACGGCTCCAACCGAATTTTCAAGATATGTTCCAACAACAGCAGCAATACTTATAACATCTGCCGAAAATAAAGAGACCACATTTGATTTGGAAATATATGGTACCTTCGCAAAAAAAATGCGCAAACTGAACGGAAATGGAGCAGTAGAGCACAAGCATAAATATATAATATGCTCATGTATAAAAATAGCAAACCCCAAAACAAAAACAACAAAATTGGAATGAAATGCTACTCTTGACAGCATTAATTCAAAAGCATTCAAACCAACAACCGAGATCATCATAAATACCATTTTTATTGTCCTTTATGAACATGGTTTTGTAACGCGCCCAGCGGCGAATTTATATCACAAGTACACGCATTGCATTCAAGCAGCCATCGACAACCCATGCCCAATGGAATAAAGTGTTATGAAGAGTCAAACATAAAACGGCATCAGGCGTCAACCAATGGAGAATAAATGTCTCGTCGTAACAAGCGCACACATAGTAAAATATGCGGCGGTTCGAAATGATGAGATTTTGATGATCACCATGCTGAACGCATTCGAAATTAATGCATAATAAGGTCGATATGGCACATCACGATGTACAAGAGTTTAATACTAATGAGCATGAATTCGGTTTTCGGCAATCTCATGGAATTTACAATAAATACGTACCTAAATACGAATTCGGATTCATTCAATTTTTTTGGTGGCATTTTATTGGAATCATTCGTGAGTGACGTATACATTTGAAAAGATTAAAATTTAAATTTAAAAAAAATACGCGAAATGCATGTTGTCGTCATTCAAAGCAACTAATACAAATAATTTTATACATAACGTCTATATTTATATTGAGCTGTCTATAGAATTCTATGCGTTAACATGTATCTACTCCCTGTATTTTGAATGAAATTCGAACAAATGTCGGTAACATATATGTATACATGCATTCCCTCCCGCAAATATTTACAAACAATGTATATGTGATTCCATTCATCATTGACAGTTGTTCGAAAACACACCAACCGAACCGAATTTCGAAATGTCAAACGAAACGTCAAAAGCATGAGTAAATGCTTGCACTGAGTGTAAGACTACGAAAACCAAAACACAACATACACATGTACGGGCGCACACATACACACACACATATACTACAAACAACAATCGTTAACTATGGCATGGTTATGAGTTTGCCTTTGTCGATTTGTACGAGTGATACAGACAAATTGTACACACTTTCGGCCGTGTAGTATATGAACAGTGAGCGATTGATTTTATGTGTATGAGTAAAGTGCTTGAGCATGTTTGCGAAAATGCACAATATTAACAAATGGCATTATTTTTAGTTAGTGTATGAATCCGGTGGTTGAAAGACGTGAATTGATATTTGTCATACATTTGTACATAAAAAAAATCTAAAGGAACTAGATAGAGAGACATTTTACAAAATTTCAAAATAAAGCGTGTAAAGAAGGAAAATCGAACATACTTTGAAAACATGGTGTGTGTGTGAACATTATAAATTATTCTCAATTGGTTTATTATTGAATTATCATTTTTGATGCGTATTTAAATTGTTTGTGTGCAACAGCGAGAAAGAGAGAAGGAGATGTGAATTGTTCAAGTGAAAAAATTTCCTTGAATTTTATGAGATTGACGATTGTTCCGTATTCGGGTTATTATTATATTGAGCTAAGTTCAGGATATTGATGAGTGTATTAGCGCAGTAAATTGACTGCATATAATTAACAACAGTTTAAAAAAAATACAGTGAATTAACAACAAGGAACGTCGTTTCAATTAGAACAAATCGAATGAAAAATTGGTCAAAGAGACTTTTCTACGATGTATGATTGAGCAGTGAATACAGACAAAAGTGTTATTAGACTGTGTTTTTTCACTTCTTCTTCTTCTTATTTTTGCTCGTCGCTTGACTGTATCTTTGGATTTGTTGTTGTGGGCAACACTGTGCCGTTGTTGTTGCCGTCGATTTGTATGGTTTCATGGCAATTGGATTTTACTTTTACAAAATTTATGTATCGAAAAAAAAGAATTGTGTGTGTGTCTTTGTATGCGTTGATACTTTAATATGGATGATTCGGTACTGGTTTATTTTGTTCGGTTTTTATTATTCGATCGTTGTGTATCCCATTCGGAGAAAACTCAAAAGCGGAGTTTATCGTTCAAATATTTTAATTTGATTCTATAAAATGAATACGAAATTCGGTGCCATTTGATTCGGGGCCATATGAAAAATTCATAGCATTGTTTTTTTTCTTGATTTTTGTGTCACATTCATGCTTCGCTCACGTTTCAAATGATGATTGCTCAGATAGTTTGTACACCATTTGCTTCCATCAAAACCGTTGTTATAGGGAACAACGAATTTAAAACAAATGAAATTGAAAACAGTATGTGTACGCGGAAAATATGTTTGATTCCTTTCAATATGTATGTGTAATGTATGTTGTTCGAAATGTGAACCAGTTTGTGTTTCGTGCCCGTTAATATATTTGTGTGTTTATGATTATGCGATGGGACACTCTTGTATTGTAATTGTTGTTGTGACTGCTTCAAGATCAATGCTAGCGGCATGAATAATAAAAACGAATGACGATTATTTTCTTTTTTCGTTCGTTCGTTTGTTCGTTCGTTGCTTCTTCAGTGTATTGTTATTTGTTCGTTGTCTACCCTTTATGTGTCGCATTTAGCATTCTATTCTTAGACTAATGTCGATTGATACGACGGAAATCTGGAGTTTTTGTGCCATCAATTCAATTCCATTGTGTGTATGCGTGAGTGTATCTATTGACTGGTTGGATATTAAATTTATATATGCTCATTGTGTTGCCTTGCATTGGCATGTGTTGACTCATGGCCTTCCTTCCATTCAACATTTCTACATTTCCTTTCCATTCAGTCGAGCGATCACATCAGGCAAACACAATTCTCTCTCTCTCTCTTTCTCTTCTGACTAACTACTACAAAATGAAAGTGTTATTGTCACTGCGCGCAGTATTAGCTCCATTATCCAACCACTGTGAAAATATCTACCAATGCTCAAATACGGCATTGGCCACATTGTGATTATTGATGGATGAAATATATGTGTGAAATTAAATATGAATTGCGAGCACAAAACGGCTCATGCTTCGTGCCTAATATGTGATATATGAAAAGACAAAAGTGAACGCAACCATCTAGCATGATGTGATCGGTGTTGTGTGGTGTAATCGCAGTATATAACTTCTTTATATAACCGTTTTATGGCTAATTAATGTGATAAAAAAATGCATTACTTCCACTTCCACAATGCATCACATCATATTTTGTTGACTTCAAAACACGATATTACAAGATTTTTTTAACGAAAAAACTAAAAATTACACCAGCGAAAATAGCGACGAAAAATAATATTTTGCATTTTGGTTCGTGTCAAATGACAACAAAAAAAACGCGAATCGCGAAAGGCTATTTAGTGTTCAATTTCACAAATATGTACTTAATTTGTTTATGCCGAGGTTGCATTATAATAACAATCATCTATGAATCGTTCTCTCTCTCATCGACAACACATCAACACCATCGAAGATATGTACATGTGTCGGGCTATACTATATTTCGCAAGACGAATTTGATCATGTACAAAATCTCAGTACATGCATTCTCGCTCGTTTTTGCACATTTTTTTTTCTCTCAATCGCCTCTACTGTTCTGTTAGTCTTTTCCTCTAGCTAATACAATTCTGTGATTCAAACGTGTTGGTTGTGCCTCCTTTTGATTTAATTGCTTGTATGTTCAATAAATTAAATTATGATTGAGTTTTTCTTTCTCATTCATTCATTCACAATTTGTTCATTTCATGCTGGCTTTTAGTACGTCAATAAAACAAAACGTGTTTGCTGCTCTATACATAGAGATAATATCCATTTGTGATTTTGTTGTTCGTGTGCTCTATTTTCTATTTTTTTTTTCAATTTAACTTTTTCTTTCCGTTTCTTTTCCTTCTCCGGGGGGATAAATGGTTTTACAGTTTTGATGACTGAACAATGGACGAGAATCGTGTAGCTGACTATTTTGTAGTGGCTGGCTTACCAAAAAATCCAAGTCTACTACAAGAAAATATTTTCAACGACAGCAGCTATTTGCGGTCGGTCGATACTGTTGTCGCTCCAATCGTTGAGGTCGGTGTATTTTTTCCAACACTTGGCGAAACTGTTCCCGATGGCAATCAAATACTTGACAAAACACCAACTGGTTTGGATGCCGATTTAAACCATGGATCCGTACGAACACCACCATGTTTTATATATTATCGACGTGGAAATGACAAACCGCCACTTGTTGATATTGGCATTTTATACGAGAATTCGGAGCGAATAATGCCGGATGCTCAAATGGTTGAATTTACTCCGGGCGGACGATTAGCAAACATAAATAATTCAACGACAAAAATTTTTATGACCTATCGTCGTGCACGAGGTTAGTTTAACGATATTGTCATTCATTCAAAATATGCGTTTCACAACATCTCAATCTCAAAATATGCTTACAGATGATATGCCATGCAATGAATTGGTTGTCAGTGATTTGTGTATAATAGTTGCAAGCCGTGGTGAGGCGCCACCACATGCATTCTGTCAAATTCATAAAACACTTAACAAGGGAATTGTGGGCAGTGACGTGTACTTGTGCTATAAAAAATCAATGAATCGACCAAAACTTATAAGCTATCAGCCAGAAATATTACATCGTTATCCATTTGTCGATCACATTGATTTTCCGCTAAATTTATGCCAGAGTGTTCCGCTCTTTTGCCTACCAATGGGCAGCACACTTGAATGTTGGCCGAATGTCGAAGACACGGTAAGTTATTTTGCAAAATGTTTTTTTATTTCATTTTAACGTAATTTTTTTGGTGCCGGTGGTTATGGTATTTTATTAAAAATGTGTCGAATAACTACATATTTCGTATGTATGGTGCAGGTGAAACGAAACAGCATAGATCCCGTATTCAGTACATTTGTGTTGACCGTTAGCGATGGTGCGTACAAAGTTTACGGTTCAGCGCTGTCATTTTATGAGGAATATGAGTAAGAAACCTTTTTATCTCTATGTGTTTTTAAAACCGCAAATCGCACACTAAGCAAATCACTGAATCTCTATTATGTGAGTTTAATATGGTTTATGTATTTGTTTGTAGCGCATCGCAACTCAACGAAAAACAAAAAGAATTGCTTGAATGGACGGATGACTCACCGGCAAATTGTTCACTTCACGTGAATAAAGCAATTTGTTTGCTATCTCATCATCCATTTGGTGATACATTTGAGAAATGGCTGCGATTCATTTATGTGAGTTATTTCATCTACGTTTTTTTTTCTCAATGTGATGATAACATTTTAATGCAAATCATGTTTTTTTGTTTGCTATTCAACAGAGAATGTCAAAAAGTGAAGCACCTTTAACCGTTCCAATCGAACGCTATATAACACAATTGATCGATGAAGTACCGTTTCCATCGCCGAGCATTTTAATTCAATTATCAAATTTATCCAATGAACGAATTATACTGACCCAACCGGAAGACTCTCCAATGCCACGTAGTGGAGCGGGTTTCATGCAATTGCTTACTAATTTAGGACCAGATAATTGCTTACATCTACTTTTACTAGTTTTAGCCGAACAGAAAATTCTCATACATTCACTTAGGTATGTTATACATATGTTTGTTTGTGAACGCGCTTATCTTATCTCGTATACTTGTAGTGGCATTCAGTAATTTTATATTTCGTCGAATGAAATAAGCATCGCAAACATTTCGTAATAATTTATTTTTTAAATAAATAACGCTAAATATTTTGTTTTCTCTTCACTTCCAATCTACTTCGCTGTTACTGTTGCCGATGATGTGTTTCGCTATGCTTTAATCTCACTTTTAGACCTTCAACATTAACAGCTGTTGCTGAGGCTGTTGTTACACTTTTGTTTCCCTTCAAATGGCAATGTCCATATATACCATTATGCCCGCTTGGCTTATCTGAAGTGTTACATGCACCGTTGCCATATTTGATTGGCGTTGATTCGCGATTTTTCGATGTATATGATCTACCAAATGATGTGACCTGCGTGGATTTGGATACAAATAATATTAGCGTGAGTTTTTTTTTCTATTCACGACAAATAATGATCAATTCTTTCTTTCTTTCAAAGTCTTTTCATAACAATTCGCCTTCCAAAAGACATTGAATTTAATCAGATGGTATTTTGTAATCACGTTTCGTCTAGTTATGCGATTCGCAAAAAGAATTGACTGTAAAATTGTTGCCAAAGCGAGCGAGTAGAATTTTGCGACAGACACTGCGTGAACTTGAGGAATTAGCACAAACACCGGTTGTTTCGTCGACAAATAGCTTGGATCGAGATTTTAAGCGAAAAATGCGCGAACAAAGTCTTGAACTTCGAATACAGGAAGCATTTTTGAGATTTATGGCATCCATTTTACGTGGATATCGAGAATTTTTAGTACCAATGTCAAAGGCTCCGACTGTTGGCTCAACAGACCCGAATGCGGTAATTTGTCAAACATTCCATATTTAAAAGAAAAATAATGGAATTTGAAAATAAATTTTAAATCGTTTGCAGCTCTTTCAATTGAATGCATTTTTGCGTTCGCGCGACAAGGCCCATCACAAATTCTATAATTACTTAATGAAAACGCAAATGTTTATTCGGTTTATCGAAGAGCGTTCATTTGTCACTGATAGCGGTTATCAAGGCTATAGCGGTTTGGCCTTTTTCGATGAATGTAATTTTACAGTTGGTGAAGAAGCATTCGATGTATCTTTAATAATTTCATTAATTCGTTTTTTAGGCACAGAAAAGGTGAGCGCATGTGATGATACCACAAGTGAAATTCGATTCGTTGATTGGGATCTCGGTGCAAGCAGTGATCGAACCAAATACATTCTACCGTTGGATTGTCAACCGGGTGTTAATGATGAAAAATACACATACCCGATGTTCGTTTTGAATCCGGCATTATTAAAACCGCCGAAAAATCATCTCAATAAATTGATACAAAATGCATCGATGCCACCAGGATCACCGATGGCACGGCGCACAAAATACGAAATAAAAATGGCACAAAAAAATGCCAGAAAATGTCAATCGTCACCAGAACAATGGGCTAATCATTTGTTAACGACGTGCTATTCAATTTATTTCCTTGTGCTGCCGAGCATTTTACTCGATGCAAATAACAATGAACAGGCCACACTGAAAGCTGCCTACGATGTACTGTCAAAGGCACACAAAATGCGAATTACCTGTGATGAAGTTTGCTATCGCATCATGATGCAATTGTGTGGCATACATAATTTACCCATACTTGCGGTACGATTATACTATCTTATGAAACGGTCGGGCATTCAACCGAATGCGGTCACATATGGATTTTATAATAAATGTGTGCTTGAAGCTCAATGGCCATCGGACACAGGTAACGCTAGCAAATTGCGATGGAATCGATTGAAAAATGTTATTTTTGCGGCGGCACATTTTCGTCGCAGCACACAAAATGGCGGTAAAAAATGCTCATTAGAACAAAATTTAAGTGCATTGGATGCAAATGATGCCACATCGGCGACCAGTTTAGATAGAGATACAAATGAAAGTAATTACTTTTCGATAGACTTTTTTGCTTTTGATAAATTACGCGGACGATTTGGAAATTTTGGACGTCAAAGCGAACGAAATGAATCGAATTTAAGAGCAAGCATTGGATCATTGACATCGGTCGGTGCGAATGAGACCAATACAAAGAATTTAAATGGTAATGGAAAGGAACACGAAATTGATCCACATACAAATCAAAGAATTACAGCTGACAACATTGAATTGATCAAGGAACCAAGACCACCCGAACAGGATGAAAATGATTCACAAAACGAATTCAATCAAGTTCAATCAAGTGGGACCAATGGCACGTCGAGCCATGAAGACAACCATATTATAACTAAGGACAATATTGATCTTGCTGTTAATGGCAACACAGATGGCGATGGATATGGAGACGATGACGATGATGATAAGAATAGCCCAAAGAAGTATGAACGGAAAACTGCAAGTGCAATTAATTTAGTTACTAATTTATTTTATCCTTTTCAACAGAGTTTCACCACGAACACCAGTCACACAAAATGATCCGTTGGGTGCACTGGTGGAAGAAGAAGAGGAACTCATAAAAATCGAAAAGACCAGCATTGAAACGAAAAATTCATTTTTAATTAAAAACAACACCATCTATACGGATCAACCGATCCTATTCCGGGGGCAACGTAGTGCAACATTTGATGAATCGACACCAATGTACAAAAGTATGCATCGGTCAAAAACGATGCCACCATCATCAGTTACATCAAGTCTTGCTGGATTCAGCCAATCATTCAAACTTAATTTTGGGTAAATAAACAACATTCAACTTTTGAAAAGATACTTCAAATCACTAGAATGCAAAAACTCACTGTCTCAATTTTATCACATGTCACGTGTAATTGTCGGCATTATTTATCATTTTGAATGGCTTTTGTTATGTCTATATCAGTTGGGCTATAAATTATTTGTTTATTTTTTTGTTTTTTTTACATTTTTTTTCTATTTTCTGAATGAAATTAGACGTTATTCACCTGCACGATTGAATTTCAAAAAAGATTCCATTATTCCTGCAAATATTATTGAAAATATCTCTAATATTAGGTAAGCATATGTAAATATTGAACGGTGTACATACACAAAACCATCTGAAATGAGGGGGAAACAGATTGTTAGTGTCCAAATGGAATGCAATGGATATATACATTATATATCGATCACTAAACACAATAGCTGCACGATTTTGCATGAAAATTAGCTTAATTAAAATATGCACAACAAAGAGGATTAATAATAAGAAAATTAAAATCAAATAATTGAATTAATATTTCAGCCCGAGTTTGACTGGCAAAAAAGAGATGATTCAAGGTGGTCTCAGTAGCATAAAGAGTGCCGCCACATCAGTGGCAAAGAAATTTGATGAATTCAAAGATGCAATCTCAGCGAATAACACGCCCATCAAATCGATCAATTTGGACCGTGGCCATAATCGTTCCGATGATAATTTGGACGTTGATTCACCGACGTACACAGCACCATCGCATTCTCGGCGCGTTTCAAGTGACGTTGATCTATGGAGTCGATTGAGTGACTCACGCAAATCCAGCTGTAATAATCTCTTATTCCTCGGTGAATATGCAAAACTACAAAATTCCTATTTACCCGAAACAACAAATCCACAAATATCGTTAGAGCATCGATACAGTTCAAAGTCCGATGTTGAAATTCATTTGAGCACATGTTCATCGTGTCACAATTGTTCCGAAACGTTGACGGATAAAGATATTATGGCGGGCTGGTCGGCCGAAGATTCAAATCTCAATACAACATGTCACAAATGTAAAAAAGCAACCGTACCATTGTTAAGCATTCATATAACCAGCATTGATCGAACACAATCCAATGAAAAACAAACGGACCAAAGTAATGTACCCTATTTGAATCCGTTGGTGTTGCGCAAAGAGCTCGAAAATATTTTAACACAGCATGGCGATGATGTTTTATGTAAATCACAATTTGTTGACGTGCATAACATTATCTATTGGAATTTGGTGTGGTTCATGGAAAGGATCGGCGTTCAAACACATTTATCAAATTTATTCTTTCACAAGGTTGGTGTATATTTTTGAATATGAAAAATGATCGAATTTTGATATGGTAATTTATTGTTTTACGTTGAACTGAATTTTGCTTTTGTTTTATTCATTTGCAGCAAAATAAAGCTGACCAAAAACCACCGCGAGAACCTTCACATCCATTGGAATGCTTATGAGAAGCACACATGTTAACAAAAGAACCAACAGCAATCCATTTGCAATAAAAACGAACTAGACTAAATTCATTAGTTGATATAGACATTGCGATTTTTAAAACGAACCACTTGCTCTATGGAAAGTGCATCTTTAAATAAATAAAAAAGCAATCAATTCACCAACTGACTAATATGTATATGACATTTAAGACGACACAAAAACTTGCTCTATTCAGTTTTTGGTCTACAACGAAACATTTTCAATCGAAAAAAATAATAATAATGAATCACGTTCCATCCCCTCTCTCTAACAAATTTTCCTCCTTTTTAATCGTCCAATATTGTCTATACAAACTGTATACCAATTTTTTTCGAATTAAGTGAACTCGATTAAAAAATGAATCTTTGAGCCTTACTTTTTATTTAAAAGAAACATGTTTATGATGAAAAGAAAAAAAAGAACGAATTAGATTAAAATTACAAACCAATTGTAACCGGAAAGATGCAACAAAAAATAATAATAATACGCAATATTCAGAGCGGTTAATCCCGATTTCGCTTTGTTATCGTTTTATTTTTGTAAAAAATGAATGATGATATATTTTTAATTCCTAAGCAAAATGTGAATTTGAGAATTTACCATTTTCACTACTTAACACGATACAAAAATATATAAAATAAAACAAAAAATTCTTTTAAAACTCAAATTGTGTCATTGATTTAAATTATTTATTAAAATTTTACAGAAAGTTCTTTAAAAATAATTCGAAGAAAATGTGTCTAATTTGAAAAATGAAATTCGAATTCAAATCATGATAAAATGTTACATGGGATTTGTTTTGCTTCGTTTCGAACTACACGATTCTGTCAAGAGTCTAAAGTACAAAATTACCGCGCTGTCATTCGGAATGCGTTTATTCGCGTTGAAATCGACGCGTACATGAATGCTTGTTCAACCAACAACACACGTTGAAAAGCATGCGGAGCAAGCGTTCTATACAATGACCACTCACTTGTTTTGGAACTTGTCTTATTCCACTCGTTGTACACATGAATAAGCACTGAGCTCTATACACAAACGCAAGCAACGCACGAATACAGACCCTACCTTTCGACACACCGTTCGTTACAGAAAACGAGTAAGAAGAGAAACACACCACACACAAAAAAATAGTCGACTGAAAATAAACCGTGTGCTAGCGGCATGATGCATAACATCGTTTACTCTCAGTTGAACGAGAACCTTCAATGTGAACAGTTTGAAGTCCGTTGTTGCATCGTGCAACTAACAAATTCCGAATAAAGCAACCGAAGAAAAAAGGCGATTTTTTCCATCGCATTGCTTTCGATCACCGAGTGATCAACAAAAAATCGTTAAGTGTCTTTCGTATACATTTATTGGAGTTCTTCTTATTCTTTTTTATTAGAATTACAATACATATGAGCACATGCTAAAATTCCGGTATAAAAGAAAACAAAAACTGTTTTTTTTTCGACTAAGTGATTGAAAGTGAAGAAGAATAAAAAAATTTCGAGCTAAAATAATCATCATCATCATCATCGAGAGTTGTTTATTAAGCAAAAAGAGTCACACCGCCACAACATAGCAACAGCAGCAAAGTTAAGACCATTAAACAGCAAAAAAAAAATTTGTTGGTTTCATCTTTCTTCGAATTCATTTCTCTTGGTGTTTTTTTTTTCGGTGAATTCAAGGGGAAAAAAGAAAAGAATGCATCAAGAGAAAGAGAGAAAAATAGACAGAGAATGAAAAGTGAATCAGAATTGTGTTCTACTCGGTGCATTTTCCCAGGCGTATGAATTGTTCGTCCAAATATACGCACGTACGTACGCAATAACCGTGTTGAATTAATAGAAACGGAAAAAAGAGCCAGCCCATTCAATTTGTGAGTGAGTGCCGAAGTAAATTAAGAAACAAAAAAAAACTTATTACACAAACTTCGGATGGAGGAATGAAAAAAAAACACACAATGAAACGAAGCATCATCTGTAGAAGATAGAAGACGAAACAAGGAAAAAAGAACAAAAAAAAATCACATCATACAAGAAAACACATCTCTCAGTGCATTTGAGAACGACCGGAGACTGTGAGTAACAACAATAAAAAAAATCAACCGACCAAACCAGAGTGAAGTCATTTTTGTACAAGTACATTGATTCGGTGCAAGTGAGGTGAATGAAGAATAAAAACAATAACACAAACACGAAACGAATGCTTTATTCAGTGAAATAACAACAACGAATTTGTAAAAGTTGTTGTTGCCGTTTGCCTCTTGCGTTTTAATTGTGTGCATTCATATTTTTTTGTGTTATTCATTTTTTCAACTGTTTCTGTTCGCTGTACCGCTTATTCGAGTGTGGCCGAGCAAAAACAAAATCGTGTCTGACTTTATTGTTGTGGATTTTTGCACCAATACAATTGCAATCGTTGTTTAACCACCATCAGCAACTTCATCCAATTTTAAGTGCATGCATTACATTAGAACCATTGTCGACGCACAAAATCCAATATTATAAATTCGAACATAGCACGGCATTTGCATTTTAATTAGTTAAGTGTTGAAGCTAAATGAAACCAAATAAAAACTGATTCAGGTGCTTCTTGAGTGCGCCGTCGCCGTAACTGTCATTGATTGTCAGTTTTGCTCTCTGATGCAAACACATAACATTCGCAATTGCACTTGCACACATATTATTCTCGTATCAACATCAAGCTGTAGCCAGCACCAACGAGCTCTTTAAAACACAATTTGTTTAAATAAACCAGTGCTACAGTAATTTGGATTTTAACACAGTGCATTTCGTGTCGACTTCAATTAAAACCCTGAACATATAAAACCATACACGAAATAATAACGAGCGAATAATAACGTTAAATGGCAGTTTCGTAAATTACATATTTTACATACAAATTGTACGGCTTTTTGGAGAACGGGCAAAACAAAGCGAAAACTAATTTAGTGGCATTTTCTGTGAATACGCCACAAGAATAATAACGCGAACTAGAGGGAGAGAATAGAAAAAAAAACAACCAACCCAAGAACTATTGAACATTTCAACGGAATGTGTTAATTGAAAATCTTTACACTCTCAGTTGAAAGACGAATGAAAAAAAAACCAAAACAGAAAACGATTTATTTAACAAATTTATTAATATTTTTTTATAAAATAGCACTGTGTGTATGACAATTTAGCTGTGCAAAACGTTCCAAATGCTGATTACTTTTTCAATCTAGTGTTAGACCGTATCCAACTCGAATGTTTGTATCGGTGTAAGTGTGTGTATACTATCTGGAGCTCTATAACTTGTGCAACCAAACACTTGCTATCGAGCACATCGATATAAATTCTATACGTGCATTTGACCCCTTTTTGGATATAAGCCTTGCTTGTTCACGTCATCGTCGTCGCCTTCTCCGGCTGTCGCTTCTTTCCAATTAGAAGTTGAGAAAAAAAAGGTAAGTCGAACGATTTGGAACGCTCAGTCTATTAGCTTTGATTTAAAAAAAAATACAAACAAACATTGTGAATGTCTTTTAATTCAATTACTGGCTTAGGCCAGTGATTGCGGATTACAAATTGCCACTATATGTCAATCGTTGTTTTCTTAAGAGCAGCAAAGATGCAGCAAATTGAATGAAAGTTGATTTATTTCAATTGTTTTTAAAATGTTCTTGTTCGCCGTAAATGAGGTTTTATCATGATGAAATGTCTGTCTTCCGATCTCAAGCCATATGCGATTCTTAGCTCATGCATTTCTTGAGCTACATCGAAGCTTAATGAAAATCGCGATTATTATCTGGATACAAATACATTTTTGTCATTTCATACAGCTTTTTTTTGCTTGAATTGAGGTCTTTTGCGTCTGTTTAAGCAAATATGTTTTTTTTATTCTCATTTTCTTCTCGTTCGATATTTATTGTCATTTTCACGATACTTTTTTTGCGCTACGCTCTCTCCGTCTTCACATTGTCTTGTTATATGGGTGTGAGTGCGCGCTGTGAATAATATTTTTTTCAATTTATTGCTACTTTTAACATTGTTCTAAATCGATTGGCACGATTATTTGTACACGATTTGCCGTTCGACCGTCGTCGTCGTCGCCATAGCGAACGACATAAATCGCTTTTTATGCCACTGCAACGTTTGCATATTTTTTTTACTTAAGTACGTTTATCTTGATAACCCAACCAACCAGAACATAAAAATGGTTCCGTTATAAAATGTGTTTTCGATAACAACAAGGAAAAAATAACCCGAAACAAAAACGAACACCATTCAAAAGTTCTGTGTTTTTTTTTGTTCTTCGCGGAAAATCCTGCAAATGCGATTTTCGTTCCACTAACGGGATTTCTAGTGACTCCAAGTGTAATAAACAGTTGGTCGAGCAGTGTGTGTGTGTGTGCGTGGCTTTTTTTATTTATTCAGTTTGGTTTCTACATCTTGCTTTGCGCTGGCCATTTCAAGCATATAACAAACGACGATTCCCTTTGATGGAAAATGTGTTGAAATGCAAAGAAAAAACCCAACGAATGATTCAACAGACATAACAAAGACAGCAATCAGAACGCTGCACAGCACAACAGTTGAATAAAATGTTAAACAAAATCATTGAGAGACCAAATCAAGATGTTATACTTTCAAATAGAGGTGTGTGTTGTTGTTTATTTTCGCGTGTCTACGCCAATGAAATTGAATACAAATCGCATTGTATTTCACAATCGAGTTCGGTCAATGTGCTGCATTCTTCATTTTGACCATTTATCGTCCTAGTGGCTTTGCACAGCATAATTCTCAGGTATATTCTCGATCTCATACTCGATCGAAATGGAAACGAATAACAACACTCTAGTCGCCCGCCCTTTGAAGATTCTTTTTTTTTTTGCACACGGCTCAGAATATCTAGATCAAAATAATACGGTAGCTGAAAAACAATCGCATCGATTTGTTTTGTTTTACGGCTCTTTCAATAGAGTGCATCTTCAGTTCGTAGCCTGTACGAACAAAGAGCAAAAAGGTATAAACGATTCACATTTCGTATGCACGACACAAGCAATAAAAAAAGAAATCCAGAGAAAATTATTCTGACTCAACTAATGTTTCAAGGCAAACCGAAGAGAAACGAGAAAAAAAAGTGACAGCGAAATGATGTTACAATGCAGAATACACACACACACGCGCGCTCTACCTTCAACACTGAACTTTAAAATCATCGATAAAAAAACACTCGCCACAAACTACCGCATCCATTTTTATGATCTTTGTCCGTACAGACTTAGGTCGTCGCCATATTTGAGTTATCCGTTTTGGGTCAGAGTCTGTTGTTAAAAGAGCAACAACAAAATTCAGCATGATCAGTTTAAAGGTCTCAATAAAAAAAAGCAAATCTTCATTGCGTTATCATTGATCGCTCTACTAAAAATGGTTAAATGCAATGAACATGATGAGCATTTAAAACAGTTTAATGCGCCTTAATGTGCCTCCTTTTTCACATTCAAAACGTACAAGTCAGGCTGCACATCCGAGGAAAATACTGATGGCGACCGCTAGATTTAGAAGTAGTTTCGATGCAGAGAGAAAGAGAAAGACAGACGAAGAAAGAACAAAAAGCAAAAGTTGCGTTTTTCACTTCAGTCTATATATTCCGTTTGCGGCCTCATTCTTGAACTCAACTTCTTGCTTCTGTTTCTTTTTGCTCGATTTTTCTACAACTATTAGGTTCGCACCAGTTTTCTACTATTCACCACACATTATGCGATTGCTCAATAACAATCGCGAAGCAGTCTTGTTATTGTTCAAATAGACTAGTGAAAATAAATGTATTTTTAGTTCAACATATACACACACAAATACAGCGACACATCGAATTGAACTCGTTCGGTCGTTCGTCATCTACATCGTCGTCAGTTTACAGTTCAGCGAAATTATGTTTTTTTCCTACTATGTATATATATGAATAAGCTGAATTACAAAACAAAAGTCAATATTTTGATTGTGGCTAGGTCGAATTTCTGCATTCATCTATGTGAAACACACATTTCATCCATTCGTTGATATTACACCATTTTCGTTCACTCGTTTTTGGATCATTTTTTTCGTATGTATACGAAATCACAGCGGCAAATACAGAGAAGAAAAAAAGATCACATTTAACTGAAAACATAAGGCAAATGTTGGCATAAACAGAAAAAAATTGGTATGTTTAAAACGCCGTATGGTCTTGCTCGTAGTATTCATGTATATATATATATTATATTATATTGAATATGGCGTTTACAGCAATAGAGAGGCATAGCGCGAGCAGTCTTGCATGTCACAAAAGTGATCTGATTGTCTTCGCGTAAGCGAATATTACGGTATCTACGGAATAAATAATCCGTAACTATGAGTTTCAAAGCTGTAATAAGAATATGATTCGAAGCAGCCGCAGCAGCAGCACAACAACAACATCAGCCAAATGAAGAGCAAAATACCCATAACAATACAGTTTTGATTTTCCGCTCAATGCACAACAGCCAAAAATGAGAGCTACTACTTATAATTTATAAGATCAAATGAAAAATGTGGTATCATTCAGGCACCAAGTAAATCCACAATTCATTTCAACACACACACAAATGCTGGTGATTTATAAAAGTGTAACGAGCAAACCACAACGATGATTAAATATGGTGCTGCTGTTGCCTGCTAAATGCTTATTCGTTAAAAGAGAAATACGAACTGAGTGTGTGTGCTTTTTTTTTGTTTATTGCCGTTGTTGCTCGTGCGCGAATGTGATTTATTCGCATAAATCTTCGTTCCATTTCATTATATGCGCATAAAACTGCCATTTAGGATCTGGTGCATTTACATGACTCTTGGTCGTTGACAAAAATTCACACATTTAACCGAGGAGCGAACGGACGGGCGGGCGACCGACGATCAATCGATCGAATGAGTGAACGAGTGAGCAAATGAACGAATTGGTCTTTCAAAATTGACTATGTTTTACGGCGATTTTAATTAGCTTCAGAGGTATTTATGATTGAACACATTGGCGCTGAAGTAACCTCTAAAAAAATCTTGTTCTGCGACATTAGCTACCTTAGTTGGTCGTGTGTGTGTATGCATATTGCTATTCGAGTTCTGTATAGTTCTTTTGGTCATATACCAAAGATGAAATTCGACTGTTTCAGAAAAGTCACATAGCACAGACCGTGTAAAGTCAAAAACTCGATTGCCTTGTCCGATTTTTCGTGAGCAATGGCAATGGATTGACGACGATTCAGTTCGATTTCAGAGTGTGGTTTGCTTTGGTTTCGGTGATGTTGTTTTTGCGCTGAAATAATTTCGTGTGTGTGTGTGTGCGTGTTAGCCGCAAGGCAGCTGATAACTTATGTAATTGCACCCAATATCTCAGCCACAGCATGAAAAGCAATGATGAATAATTTTCATGTGTGCCGATGCTGCTTTTATCGCTAGCTTTTTCTGCCTCTGTCTGTCTCTTTCTGTGTGTCTCTTCCACTCTCTATTGACTTAAACATTCATCTCATCTCGAATGCAGCGCGAATATTCTTACCGCGATGAGTACGTTCGAGCTCTGGCCATTGGCATGGGCAAACAACAAAAACACACGATTCTTGAATGTTGCCCAAGTATTTATTACACTTTCTGATGGTCTCGGAGTGAATAACATGCGTTGTACAAATCGTCGATCGTCGAGAACATTAAAAACAGCGGTTTTGATGGTTTGCTTGGCGCTCGCGATGTTGTTGTTGCTGCTGTTGGTGTTGTCGTCTTTTCCACGCCGAGAAAGAGGTTTCTCAACTCGCGTCGCACACACTTTTTTTTCACTGCAAACAAAAATAAAGGGAAAAAAACGCACAAGCTGACTCAATGTTATTTATAGTTCTCTTTGCATTTTGTTCTGTTTTGCTTGGCATCGTTGCTTATTTTTTTTACTCTCTTGTTGGCTGGTATGTTTTATTCGTGTGTGTCGTTTTTCGGGTTTTCGCTCGAAACATATTCCGTTTAATTTTATCCAGAATAAGTAGAGTGGCAGAGATTTGAAGTTTTGCGTGTGTGTGTGTGCGTTGTTTTTTGTCTTTGTCGTATCAAAATATGCATACTTTTATGCAGTATGACACAAACATATACGTATACACTTTCTCAATGCTCCTCGCGCGCCAATGATTTGAATTCCGGCTCTTCGAAACACCAGAACAGACAAATGCAAAAAAATAACGCAACACTAGCGAGATGCGAGATCGAAAATATAAAATGGCATCGACCAATTTCACTTCAAACATGAGAATGACTGTTGGCTACGGAGCAGACAAAGAGAAAAAGAAAGATAATTGAGCTTGCATGTTTTTGGTTGGCAATAATCTGGGTGCCCGAACACTTACAAATACATATACATCACATACACATACGCTCGCAGACAATCACACACGAGAAGCGAGAGAAAATGCCTGCA